AAACATATATTAGTGAATCCTTGCACTCTTTTTGGACATTTCCATACTGTAGATGAGGAAACTGAAGTACAGGTGGATTAAACAGTTTCTTCGTAGAAAATAACTGTCAGTCTGGAGATGCAGAGCAAGGACATTATGTGAGCAGAGAAAACCCGTGTATTAGCACATACTGTGTTGGAGTATAGGTCGTGCATGTTGCTCGTGCATAAAGTAGCCAAGTAATTACATTCTGCAGTAAAATTAGGATGCATTGATGCTCCATCCTTGTGATACCACTGTATGGCCAACACCATGATTTTTGCTTCCCCCTGGAAACACAGAACTGAATTTGCCATCAGGTGCAGTATTAGAGTTGAGGGTGACAACCACATTTTGTTCCACTGGATGCACATTGCATCCCCAGATAACCCCACAGCCGAAAATACAAAACAATCTGGCTAAAATTAAAACTGCTTCTTAAATCCTGTCTGATGTTGCCCGAAGCTTTTTGTTCAGTTTATCTTCACAAGGTCACTGAGACAGAAGAGTGCATTCTGTGAGCCTGCTGGCCTGGAGCCTTTCATGCAGATGCTTTCATTTAACATTTGGGACATTCTCCTTCTCCCTTTGGTCCCTTTTTACTCCCCCATTTTCCGTATCTCTCTACTCCTCCCGTTTGAGCTCAGGTTCCCTTGGATCAATACATGTAGGAATAAAAGCTATCCTTTTTTATCACCTTAACATGTAATCACCAGTCAGAGCTTTCTGGACACCCAAGCTGTCATGGGTCAGAGGCTGCTGGTCTGTCAGAGCTGCCACATGAGCTGCCACACGTGCTGCCTGCAGCACTGCCCTCATCTTTGCTGTCATCCTGCCACGTGGAGTAATTGTCTTGCAAAGCTGTGTGTTTGAAGCAAATTCTGCTTCTGCCTCTTTCAGTGCTTGCAGTGTGGTCTTGGACTACTTGTTTAGGATAAAAGTAGTAAATTCACATTTCTTTTTTTTTTTAATAGTCAAGAACAGGACGTTGCAGTTCAGATTAATAGGGACTGTGTGCTCTGAGAGACATCCCATGAGTTGTAAGGTGAGCTTCCATTAAGATATCAGAAATTGGAAGCTGCTTTGGAAGATTGAAGCCAAATTTTAAGATCTGATAAAGGGCACGAGTGTCTGTGAGTCTGGCACGTGCTGTCTGGCGTGAGCTCAGGATCAGGAGTCTCCTGTGCAGCGAAAACCAGCGTGAGAGAAGAGCAGTACAAAAAAGGTGATGTGCCAAGTGAGAAGCTGGCCCTAAAATTGTGAGCTTCGTTTTCACCAGCTCTACAACAGGAATGATTGCAAATACTTTACTCACAGATATATGTTAAAATTAGTAAACCGTCCACTTGGATGTTATTATTTATAAAATGTAGTAAAACTGCTTCTCTAAATGAGAGATCTGTAGGCAGCACACTTCATTTGCAGAAGGAAATGCTGCTGCAAGAAGGAAACAGCTGTTTCCAAACTAGTTAATTAAATTGAGGCAAGAACTAGAATATTAGTTCAGATAGTTCAGGATTCTTTTCTCTTTCCTTTCTGCATTAGGGAACACAGACTGAACTGCGGGCCACATAAGTTACTAAGTAGTCTGCTGTATAAACCCCCCATATTTAATAGCTCCTTAACAGGGATGTTAAGATGGATTAATTATTCTTTGTTCTGGTCTCTGAAGATAAAGAGTTATCACTATTAATTATGTATAATTGAAAAATTGCTTCTTTACAAAGAATCCAGTAGCATTAGGGAGATTTTAACTTCTTGCTACCTGTAGGGAGTCTTACAACATTCCATAATGTTATGGCAAAGGCTGCCATAAACTTAAGAGCGGCCTCAGCAAGTCTTACTCACTTTCCAGCCCACACTTGAAACCAGTATTTTCAGAGATAACAGATCTCAGAGCAGCTACAGAGGCAGGACTGGGTGTTTTGTTCTGTGCTGAATGACACTCAAACAGGAGGTACAGTTTGTGAGGCTTGTTGTCGCTGAGGATGGTGAGACTTTTTCTCAGTAAATTTCCAGAAACCTGTGGGAATAACCACAGTAAAACCAAAGGGAAAGTATTAGAAACCAACAAACAACAATAGCAACAACAACAACAACAAAGCAAACCCTTGAGTTTGCCTATCTGGGGAAGAAGCTTATTAAAAGAAGAAGTAACCAGTACATCTCCTGTGGGTTAGCACAGACAGCAATGGAGACTGTGTTGAGGTATTTGAATTTAGGTGAAAAAGAAAAATAAATTAGAATTTTTACAAGAGCAGAGCACTTTCAATTACATAAGGTTAGTGGATAGGTTTGCCTGAGACTTGGAATTCCTAACTGCCCCACTGATTTCTGTTGTCAAAATATGTAGGTTCATAGCTTCCTTTGATATCAGTATGAGTTGGGCACCTTCCCATGCATAAAAGTCAGACCCTTAATCTCTCCAGGCCTGAGGGTAACATTGGCAAAATGAGGATAATAACATTATCTGCTTCAAGGAGTGCTACAAATAAATTATTGAGTTATTATGCACTTAAATAATGTAATAACTGAGATAATATAAACTCTTGCGGCATAAACATATCCTACCTGAGTGACCTTCTCCACATATGACTTGGTGTGGAGGTCACTCTGAAACAGAAATGATGTGTCTAGTGTTGCTTGTCTTGCAGATCTTTGCTCTCTGCTTTTCCTTTCCCCCGAATTCCCATGAGCAGATTAAGCCAAGGCCCTATTTTACAGTAAGATGTGTCTGCTTATGTTGCCGCACACTGAATAATCCTTTCTCTACGCGGCTTTGGGTTTAACTCCAGCAGCCTGGAGCAGCACAGAACCAGAGCCTTCTGCAGAGCACTTGTCTCCCTAATGAGGGAGGCAATGAAAAACATTTTCCAGTGCATCCATCACTCAGTGCTGAGCCGAGTGGACAGGCATCCTGGAGCAGCCTTATATAATCCGTGCCTCTGCCTGGCCCCGGCTGGGCAGCGGCAGTGCGTGCAGGGGAGAAGGGGAGCTCTGCTGGAGCTGCTCGGTGGGGCACGGCCGGGGCTCCCCCTGGCAGCTGCAGGGTCTCGGCTTGTACCGGTGTCAGCTTGGTGCAGGCAGCGTGTCAGTCACTGCCTCGCTGGGGCACACGGGGCTCAACTCTGCCTGACCCGCTCTGACAGAGACCTCCCCACCCGTCTGTTCTTGCCTAGATCCGATGTTAGCTGCAGCGTCCCACAGCCCAGCACGGCAAGGGAAAGGCCCGTGAAAGCAGAGTAGGGTGCACTGTGTGTGAGCAGATTTGAAGGGGGAGAATCAAGAGCGCCTCTGTTTCTCTTGTGCTGACTGAGGATGCTCACAAAGACCAGTAAATGCAAACAGATTTCCAGAGGCGATGGTTGTTACAGATGAGAGAAGGCAAAAAGCACTGGAAGCATCTGACCTATTTTGGGAAGCTTGCTGGGGCTTTTTACTTTTATTTTGTTCAATTTTGTTTTTCAAAAGATATACTTGCACCTGAGTCAAAGAGAGTAAATATTTATCATTTTTTTAAACTATATGCACCATCAAGACAGAAGGAAACCAAAAAATAGCTTGCTGGATTTGCGAGGCTGTAGTCACCAGTCGCCCTGAGGGCACAGGGGTTTGAGCTGCACTTGAGATGCCTTTTGCCTGCTGCTGGTTGGTCCCAAGCTAAAGCTCCCGGTGATGCACATAACAACCTTTTTGCAGTGCTTGATGGCAGCTGCCACAGTGAGATGATTTGGGGGCAGTTGACCCAGGGCACATCCCTCGGGCCCCCTCAGTAAAATTCCATAGCACTCATTCTGGAACTCAAGGAGTTGTGGCTGTGTGACCTTCTCTGTTCCTGTTTCATACCTCTGAAGATCATGTTTATCCTGCTGTAACATTAGTGACTTAATTAGAGCTGAATTTGGTCCTACTGTCTCTGAACATGAGCAGCTCCCATCTAGTCATCTAAAGGATCAGATCTGGTTTCTTCTCTCTCTCAGTATTGGTGGCATCTGGTTTCATTTTCCATCTTTCCTGAGGGAGCTCACTTTTCCCCACATTTCAGCATATGCTTGTTGTATGTCAGCACCCCGGGCTGCCCATGTGTCTGTGCCAAGCCAAGTACCACTTTTCTAGCCAGCAAGGGACATGGTGTAAGGACAGAATGTGAGACACATCAGGGATTGGTGGTGTGGACTGTGCGTAGCTTAAAACCAGAACCTGCTTGCAGGTCAAGAAACTAAGCTGGAGCCAGTTAAGTGTGCGGGTTTTTTTCTCTGTGTAGGATGTGTAGAGGTAGCAAGATTTTCATCCTGTAGGAGCCTGAGGGCCACCATTCCCAGGGTAAATGCCAGAGTGGGGCACCACTGATGGAATGACAGGGCTGGCAGGGGACACCACATTTGGTGTCCCCATTTATCTCTAGATATGCTGGCATGGGAAATTTTCTATGTGTAATAGTTTGTCTCCAGGAGATGGATTGGTTCCTCTAACTTGTTCCACCTCTCCTTCCCTGTCCCCACCCCAACCGCTTGGCCAAACCACAGCTCCCTCAGCTTTGTTTGTGGCACACAGAGGGACAGCTATTCAATCAATAATGATACAGTTATTTTTTGTTAGATGTGGGATTTTTAAAAAGCAAGAAGTGATGATTTTGAGTGTTTATTAGATTCCTCTAAAACATACATTCAACTTCAGCTCTCAATATTTTAATGTATATTGCTACATAGATAAACTTATTGCTTGAAAAAGCATATGTACTCTCTGTTATTTCTCTGTTATTATAATGTTATCCAGTATTGTAAAATCAGCATCTGTGACTCAGATCACAGACATTAACAAAATAATTTAAAAATAATTTTATTTAATTAATTAACTTAAATTATACATACTGAGCTCTTTTATTTTGGGGACTTGCGGGGTGCAGGTATTTCTCTGTAAGCGTGGGGGCAAGCGACTTCATTTGTCTTTTAATAGTCTCTTAGTATCAGAGACGGATGATATCATCTCATATTGAAGCTCGTTTTTTAATAAAACTGCAGCAGTTTATAACATGGATACAGAGCTCCTGCTCCCATTCACGTTCCCTCCTACTCCACCCCATGTTCACCACAGTGACAAGCACAGGAAGCTGAAGGACTTGTACTAAATCTCCAGTTCAGTTCTTTAGTGCCTCTCACACGTTACAGCTGCATGGAGGAGGTGATGTCTTGAGGACAGGGTATAAGCAACTTTAGATTAAGTAATGGACTTAATAACTTCCTATCCCAGCAGACTGTCTTTGTGGCTGTCAGTGCCGTGTAACCGTGTCCCTGATATCCAGTCTGCTGTTTTCTGTATCACTGTTCATAAGCTCCCATCCTGAACAGCAGTCAAACTCTTCGGGCTGTGCTGGGGGATTATCACACTCGCTGGGCCGTTAAAGTCACTTCGCCTCGAGTCTTCAGCCTCTGAAAAGTGCCCCAGGCTAATCACTGTGAAATGTGACGCCTGTCATGTCTTCTTGTTCTGGTGTGTGCAGCAGGCCTGTCATTCACTAAAAGCCTTAACATCTGTTATTACACGGTAATCCTCACGCATCAGGCTTCCAAATAAGAAACTGGTGGAGTCCAACAAGGTATGGCTCAGCCCTGGTTTGCATAATTCCCAGAATGCAAGGCAACTTGCTCTCCCTTCTGAAATCATTAATAAGCAATAAGAATATTATATAAGCTGGCATCTTTTTTTAAACCATGATAATTTCAAATGCTATTATAATTAGGATGAAGATGAGAGTTTGAGCTGGGGGAGGGAACAGAGAAAGGATTAAGCTGATCTCCACCATGACGTTAGAAGGTGGCTTTGTCTGTAATATCCTAGTTTGGACAATAATGGATACACTTTAGAAACATAAAGAGGCAAATAGACAATTTATTTGAAAGTATTAATCCTTTTCATCCTGAAATGTTATCTCTTGCCTTAAATAGGATCACAGCTTTCCAGTCCACTTATGTCCTGACTACTTGACCCTTTAGAAACGCCTGAAAAGCAATATATGTTTGTGTTGTACCCCTGGTGACTGTCAGCTCCATAGTGGGTCTCATAAAGTGGACAGAAACGTTCTGTGGCTGGGAATGTCTTTGTCTAAGCCAGAGTGACTGCTAGGTGACTGTGCCTGCAGTGCTATCACATCACAAGAGACGTGGCCTCTCGGGTGGCAGGTCCCAAGCCATGACAGATCAGATGTGATATTTTAATGAAAAAAAGTTTAGTGTCTTGATCGAGCAGGCGGGATTTGCTGGAGAAGGCGAACCAGGTGAAAATATGGTTTATAAATGCAAGTAATAGGGCCGCTTCCTCTGGAATAAGGAAGATTTAAAAAGTCACTTGTCAAAATCATTTCCCTCTAAGGCTGCAGCAGCCCTCGGATCTGAGCATGTTCCTGATGTTCCCCCTCACTCACATGCACGAACACGGGGAGGCAGGCGGGAGGAGGCAGCTGCACTGACACACTATGGGGTTTGCAGGAACACGATGGCAATTTAGAAGAGCGATTAAAAGATTGCAAACATTTATTAATAGCTTTGCTGCTGCAGCAGCTCTGCCGGAGGAGCTTCCTCAGGGATGCTCTTACCTCCTGCCTGTGCCCTTCCAGAGCTCTAGAAACTGAAAAGTCAGGTTTGGACTGGGTTTCAGTTTAAAGCCATCAGACTGCAGACCACATTATCCCAGGAGCCAGGAAAGGGGACAGGGGGGACTTGAGTGTGGGAAAGAAAGAAGGTGCACAGAGCAAAAAGAAAGGATTTGTTCTTTCCAGCTATTGCTTGGCCTTTCTTTTCTTCCCTGTGCTGCTCTCCCTTTCTCTCTTTGCTCCTCTTTGCCCATTCCTTTTCCTCTCCCTTGGGACAGAGTGACTTTTTGTTCAGTGCACTGGCACTACATTCAGATGTGAGTCTACAGTGTCCTTTTGATACTGTATAACAAAATCAATGAAAGACAGGTATAAGAGCAGTATTGGAGAGGATCTGCTGAAAGTTCTGCAGAATGATCTGATTTTCTATATGAGCACAATCAGTTCCTTTGCAAATCTCCTGACTTTGTCCTTGTCTCTTCAGAGACATTGGGGAAAGGGAGAGGTGAAGGTTCAATGAAAATAAAAAAAGAAAAGGAAGGAAAGGGCAATTGGCTGAGCAAAAAAATCACCTTAATCTTCATGGCTGATCCTGCTGAACAGCAGTAAGCACCGTAAATGAGATGGGCAATTCTGATGTTTGAGTGCAGAATATCTGAGACATTTTTATCCCACAGAGCAGATGATGGTGACTGACTGATACAAATTTGCAACAGGAGGATATTTATCCTACGCATATGGTGACCTCCTCCATATTCCTATCCACAGTGGAATAATCAGTTTCTTTCATTTTTTGTTTTTTTCAAACTGGGTCCTAAGAGAAACTGAAATGTCTGGACAGCCTAAGAGGAATATATTTTTACTGCCAAGCAACAATGACAGCAGATATAAATGCTTGTGTCCCTGTCACTATCTGAAATCCTGCTGGAGCTGAGATGGATGACAGAGCACCCCAGCCTTGGCCAACAGCATGGCCAAGGGACTGGATGTGCCATTGGGCACTGGCAGCTTTTACCTGTGCTTAACTTTTTTAGTTCCATTGGGATCATTTTTCTTCTCTTCATACACACAATTTAATCATCCCATTTTTCAGTTTAAGAAAAATCTCGCTGCATAATTACTGCATCTGTGCTTAATGCAGAAGAATAGGCAGAGGGGAAAACAAAGTTGATCCAGTGGATCAGAAAGGATTAAAAATATGATGGTTAAAGAATGAAGGAACGAAATTAGGGTCGAATTAGGAGTCCTGCATTATTCTTACCTGAACCTGATTCGAGCTAATTTGGTTTTTTTTTAACTGCTTCCTCTGTTCCTTGAAGTTTTCAGTTTAAATACTTCCTTGGTCAGTTTTCAAGCGCAGGGTTCAATTTGGAACTTGACCAGCTGAATTTTTGTGTATTGCAAGGGGATGTGGCCAATGAAAAACACCTGATTATCTCTGTTCGCTTCGTATGCCCTGCTCCTTGTTGGAAGCTACACAAGCTGAGAGATAACATAAAACATCCTCCCTTGGGATATTTAAGGAAGGTCTGTATAAATTTCTGGGGAGTTTGGCAGAAAGCCTCCTGGGCCTTAAAAAGGCCTGCTTTTCTAAGGAATGTACATAATACTTTGAATAATCCTAGTCTAAAAGACAGAACCCACCAATGTATTTGGGCTAATTGCTCCTTCACTTTTGTCTTTAGGAGCTGGAATTCCCCATGTTCAGAGCAGCCAAAGAAGGACATCGATGAGGATGAAACAAACCTGGATGTTGGAGAGATATCTGGTCTCAGGTGAGAAAGGATGTAGACAGGATCCTGCAAACACCATTTCAACAGAAGGAACCACTTTTGGGGATGCTTTCCCTCTCATTTCTTGTTTGATGGTTGTAAATGGCAGCCCTTTCCAGGTAGTAGCAGCTTCTCTGTGAAAATTCTCATCCTTTCTTAGCAGTAGCTATTGCATTCCCACTGGTTTCAATATCTTTAATTTCCAAGTTTGCTGTGTGTGGCACCAGAGGATTGCTTACAGTCTTGGGACAATTTGGACACCTGTTGGTGGAATTGTTTTATCAGGATTTTTTTTCTTCATTTCTGAAAGGCTATTTTGGGATCTTTGTTTACAAATATTTAAAGCAAGAAATTGTATTTCATCAGCATTTTCCTTGCTCCCATTAGGACCTCAGCCCTCACTAAGGCTCTTGCCTCATGTATACCTCATTTTCTTTTTTTAAACTATTTTGTTGCTCATAAAAAAAACCCCGTATTGTTCTTAAGTATGACAACCACCACTCTCTTAGTTTTGGAACTGTCACTGTGGGCTTTGCCATTGGCATTCCCTTGCATTATTAGGACTCCCTCTGGGTACACTGGACATATCTCTTGACGTAATTGCAATTGTACTTCGCAAACGAGCAAGGAATTTGCTTTCCTGTGTATTGAGACATTTCTCTATGTCCTGTATCTTGTACTGGCTGCTGTCTCTGCATCCAAGTGGCAAGTAACAGGACTACAGCAATGGATAAAATAACCTGCACTGACCTCAAAGTGTTAAGTTTCTGAATTGATAAATAACACTTATTAGTGAGAATAAAAGAATTCTAGAATGCCAAGAAAGTCATGAAACTTCAGGAGTTTACCTGTTCTGTCCTTCTCCCATCATGAAGGGAAGGCAGGGCTTTGACAATGTTACCAAGGGCTTTGACCTCTGTGATTTTCTTTCTCAGCCATCGCACAACACAGAGCTGGGGGCAGCACTTGGGCACAGCCCAGATACACCCTTGAGACACAATTAACCTGCAGTTGCACAGCCTTTGTAAAGGCTGGATTCCACAGAGAGGCTAAGGAGTGTAGGGATCAATAGCAATGCAGCTGGATCTCTTCTAATGGGTGAGAGAAAAGACGCTGAGGAGCCTGTTCCTTCTGCACAGGGAAAAGTGGGGAGGTGAGATTCATGTTGTTACTCACTGATACGGGAACACTGTAAGAGAAAACAGAGATTATTCTTTGTATCCTTGTTAGGAGACACAGAAAGGGTAATAATGAGGAAGGGGAAGGCAGGTTACAGGTGGTAGCAGAAAGGAGAATTGTCCTTTTATGAGTGCCAATAAATAACCTTCTAAGTGCTGAGAAGGTGGTAGAAAGCATGACAGAGGTCTTTTCAAGGTTTAGGTTCTTCTATGGAGTAGGTCCCTTCTGTTTAGAAAAAAGTCACCGAAGATAAAATATTCCCAGACATGAATATAGAAAAGATGAGGTTGCACATGATGGACTTAAAAAATTCTGAAGTAAGTCTGTTTTAAAACTCTATCAGAACAAAGTCTTTAACTTTTAACACAATGTACCTTATTGGTTTGATGATGAATTAAAAACTGGAGGGAAAATGAAGAAGCAGCTCATGTAAAGCATCATGCATCATCTTCTGCCTCCCTCAAGACAACAGTGTATCACCTCAGCTGGTAGCAGAAAGTCTGCCAAGCTTTGTCATCGTTTGCATCATGACCTGAGAGCAAACACCCCCCCTGCCGTCACACGGGGCAGGGCTGGGCACCACTGGCAGCACCACAGTGGCCACAGAGCTGGGGAATATTTGCCTTACATTTGCCTTGTCAGCACCAGCTGGCAAACAGAGGGAACTGAAATATATTGTTCTGTGTATTCTGTTTGTGTGGATCAGCATCATCAACCTTGCTGGTCTTCAGTTCAAATAACAGCTATTTGTGAGTTTTGTTTTTCAAGATTCTGCTTGCACAGGTTTGACTTCACCTGAAATGTGTGATAGTCTTGATTGCCTGTCCTGTTGTCCAGAGCTTGAATTCTCACACAATGCTCAAGTGAGCCACAGGACACAGCCATTAAACTTAGTTTATGGAAAACATACCAGAATCACTTGGATCACATTATCTTAAACTTTCCACGTGAAGGAAATGTAGCACCAGGAGATTTCCTCATGTCCTGTCTCCAAATCTTGCTTTCTGCTTTGTTCTGTGTGTTTTATTTAGTTTAAGAACAGTAATAACTGGCTTCCAGACCCTGCTTGTGTTCTCCTTTGATCTTGACTTTGTATTTTCTTCCCTACCTGATATTCTTTTCCTTCCTTTTAACCCAGTATTGGTTTAAATTATTTCTCCCACCATAAGTACTCACACCCAACTCCTTCAGTCTCTGATAATCACAGCAAATTGGTATGATTTTCTTGGCTAGAACTTGTGCTTTACTTACTTATAGTGGTGTTTATCCTAAAATTCATTAAATGTCTATCTTTATTGTCTTGGGTTTGAGAAAGGACATGTCTCAGGAGAGTTCCATTTGCCTCTGAATAAAGTCAATATGAACAAATAATTGCTAGAATTTCTTTACTCTTCTTACCTGGTGTCCTATGCAAGTTCAGGAAATCACACCAAGGAACCAAGGAATTGCTTTCCTGCAACAGCACTAAAAGAGATAGAGCTGTCTATCAGCTAGGTGAACGTCTCTCACAATGAAACAAGCAAATCTGATTTTCTTGTTAAAATTCTCATGTTATTTCATCATAGGAAATACAGAGATGTGCCTGGTAGCACACCTGGCCCAGGGGTGAGGCTTTGGCAGCTCACCTGCTTGTTGCTGTGCCCGTTCGCTGAACAGCGTCACCACATCTTGGTAAGGAGAAGTTCTTTGTAAGCAAAGTGAGAGGTTCAGTCCCCGAGATCTGCTCAATCATTTCCATGACAAACCAAGTACTGGGTTAGAAGCTCCAGCTGAACACCAGGGTGGTGAGCAAAGTGGTGTGGACAAAGGGTTGAAGTGCCAGCATAGATTTCTAAGCCTTCTTGACAGATTTTACATTGTTCACAAAGTGATGTGACTTTTGGGTGCTTATGAGTAATGGGCAGAGCTGGATTGTTTAGTGTCCCTGTCCCCCAAGGCCACTGCCCTTTGAGAGGGAACAGTGTGTGCCACTGTTTGGCAGCCACGCTCCCAACCTGACGCAGGCATTTTGGGGGGGCCACGGAGCTGGCAGAGATGACTCATTCCGCCTCAGTGGCTCATTGAGGAGCTGCAGGGAGAAGCTATTTATAACCAGACCTTTCAGGTTCAGTGCAGCAGCATCTTCAGCAGGAGGGGGACAGGAATGGGGATGGAACATAAGACTTCCCAGATACAGATCAGCTCCCACCTCAGTATTGTTCCTAGAGCCACACAGCCACCAGCTGACTTCAGCCAGCATCTTTTCCAAGTCTTTTGTCCAGCTGTAAGGCTGCCCTGGTCCTGGTGTAAGATTCTGCTGATAACTCATCAGCTCCTCAAAGAGCAGGGAGACAACTGTGAATATCATCAGTGTGAACAAAACACAAACTCTTTCTAGTGTAGCTGCTATGCTGACACTTGCTGATTCTTTCTGACCCCTGGCCATGGCATTATCACCTTTATCTTTTCTTTGTCTCTGTGTTTATCCTGAGCTCTTTCCCTGGGTGTTTTCAAACAGTCTTTATGCTGCCAGCAAATCCCATTTAAACCTCCTGAGGTTTCTCTTCTATACAAGCTGCCACTGTAAAACTGTAGTTAGTTTTCTGATCTTGCCGTGGATTCATTTCATCTTGAGGTGCTTCCATGACTCCACATGTGAAACAGAGATAATGATACCCCCTGGGTTAAGCACAGTGTGATCTACAGCAATGAAACACCACCTAAGTGGTAGGACTATTACCAGAGAGAGTCACAGTACAATAGGAAAGTGTTTTACACAACAGTAGAGGACAGCATGTGTTAAAGAAAATATTTACTACAAACACACGTCATTGTATCTAGGTAACTGTAGACTTTATCTTGAAGCATGTTAGCACACATAAAAGTTGAGTTTTCTGTTGTATTAAAAACTTCTTCGAGTTTGTTCTCTTAACTGGCTTTTGAATTCAAAGCCATGAGGCACCAGGGATCCTGTGGCATGAATGTTTACCTTGTTCTTGTTCTACCTCTGTCCTATTCTTAAACCAATTTGTGTGTCTGGAGCTGGGCTGTGGTTAGATGGCTCCTTGGCTCCTGTCACTCTGTTGCTTCTTCCCATAGCTTAAATGCTGCATATCTAGCCCTTCATCTTCTCTTTTTCTTCTCATTACTTCTTTCTTCCTCTCCCTTCTTCATTCAGTAGGCAATTGGCTCAGCAGTGTGTGGCTGGTGCATGGTTTGATGAGTGTAAAGACTCGGTGTTAAGGCCATTTAGTAGATCTGTGGGTTTCTTTGGGGATCTCTCTTTTGGCTGTCCTACATCCCTGTGCTATGGACCCAGAGCTATATTGGCCTATTTACAGTGCATTGTGTTTATTGTCTTCATACAGAAGCTGTACTATAAATAACTCTTGACTTCAGTTTTGGCAACCAGCTAAAGGGGAGGTCTACCCTGCATAAACCAGTGCTTCAATGATAATTTATTTCTTCAAGTCCAGCTCTAAGACTGCAGAGATATGTGAATGTGGCACATACCTCATAATCTGAGGTTGCCTCTGCACAGTAGCCCAAACTCTTCCTATCTGCCACATCGTTTTCCTGAATCTCTGTTTTGATTTGGGAAAAACAGACATCTGGCTTTTATGGTTGCAAATAAACCTCTGAAACATCAACAAAATGTAGCTGGTGCAGAGATATTTGTGTTGGTCTTGAGAGAAAGAGACCATATTTCAGGGACATGAGGTGTAGCATTTGGGGGGGTTTTGAGTGGTAAACTAAAATGTGCTTGTAACTTATAAGCGATTATAACTTGAATGTCAACTTTGCTCCTTGTCTCTTTCTTCAGCAAATTTTAAACAGTAGATAAAATGGTTCTTAGAGCTGTTGGTTTATCCCTTGGCACCTCAGGCACCATGAGTACAGTGTATGGAAGTGCAGCTGGCTGCCCTGGATGTCTCACCACCTCCCCTTTGCCTGAGGCTTGCAACATTCCTGAGCAGACCCCTGGAAGGGGATCCCAAGGATGGGCAATATGGCCAGAGAGCACACAAGGAGATTTGTCCAGGTTTGACTTCGTGAACTCAGAACCAAGAGGGTTGGGAGGGGAAACCAAGAGAGTGCATACATGTCAGAGACTGAAAGGATTTACTTCCCTGCATTTCCAATTGCTTGTTTTCTATCTGGGGAAAATCCCTTTTGACAGCCCAGGCGGTGAGCTTCTAATTCCTGTCTCCGGCTCATTTTTCACTTCAATCCCTCAGCGAACGGATTTTAATGCTTGATGGATTCAAACAAAATTATTTCCGTTCCTGTGGCTTTGCAAAAGCCTCCAGGGTGTGTGTATGTGTGCACAGGGGAGGAGGGATGGGGCTTGTTTTCGTTACACTCCAGTAAGCCTCCTCTCCAAGGGAGACCTATTTCATTTCTTCATTTAGGGCTTTCTTGCTGATGATTCCCCCCATGCTGTCCTCCTGGCTCCTGGGTCACAGGAGGGCCTGTAAAACATTTGCTGTTCCAAGGGGTACAGGATGCAATGTTCCAGATCAGTGTTTCTGATGCAAGTGGGGATTCAAATAATATGACCATACTGTGCTTCCAGGAATAGCACTAGACTGGGGGAAATAACTGTGGGAAAACTTTGATACTCCCCTGCTCTTGCTGGGAGTGAGACCACCACAGGCTGAGAGATGGGGTTGGTGACTGAAGCATTGTCTGGGTAATCAGTGTTTAGCATTGACATCTTGTTTGAACATGCATACAATTCACCCTACTGCCATTGTAATGGACAAGTGTTGCTTTTTATTACCATTTCCAGCCTCTCCCGCCAGCAGAAATCACTGTAGGGAACTGTGCGGGGAGTCTTCTTGCATAACACTCAGTAATCAGTCAGAATTTCAGCTGCTCAACCACCATGTCTCTCTGCTGGGCTTCTTCCACAGAGTTCTTGTGTCTGGGAGGCTAAACACTATTAAAATGCTCAATATCTCACCCTTCCATCCAAGCCAGATCAGCATCATCATCCAAATTAACAAAGCAATTATTCTATGACACACAGCTCTAATAAGGACTTATAACTAATAAATGCTAAAGATCCTCATTCTCTGAAGGATTTAGAGTGTAGAATAAAGTTGATGATGTCTCTCAACATATGAGACTACTGTTGTTAGGGTGTGCTAAGCCCACTTGGTGATACCATATCTAGATTAAGTTATTTCAATTTATTATAACAGCTCCCAAGCTGTCACTTTGTCAGGCAAGGCAAAAATCTTGTTCCTGAACTTGGAAATGTGTTCTGTGTTCCTCTTCAGCATATGCCTGTCTTCGAAGACAACCTCCCATGTCCACAGCCTCCTGTGAATATTTGTTTAGAGCTATTGATCATCATAAATGTGTGTTGTGTCATGTTTGTGAAGCTGGTGGATCTGGGGACTACAGGGTGTAACTTGTCTGTTTCATTTAATCTATCTCTTTATGTTACTTCACAACCCCCGTTCCTCTAACTTCAGGGTTTTTTCAGTATAAGTATTCTAATTCTCATTTTTTATTTTGTTAAATACATTGTCTACAGTGGAGAAGCCCTGTTTTATTAGTGTGGTTTTCTAATATGTTGCATCAGAGACTATTAACTTGCATTATAAATACTCAAAATCATGCATAAAGTATACATTGAAGTTTTAGTTGTAAATATGGTAATAGCATTTCAGGAATTATTTATCTAGTTAATATGTTCTTGCATGTAATTGTATTTTTATTTTAACTTCATCAATAAACTTCAAAGTTTCAAGCCAGGGACAGTAAATTGAAGTGTTAATGAACTTTGGAACTTCATTAATAAAATGATGCAAAGTTTGTTTGGTAGCAGAGGACACTAATTTATGAACCAATAGATACCACTGACCTGAAAGCTTCAGCTAATTGTTACAGCAGTGGTACAGGCAACTCTCCTTTTACATATCTTTAGACTATAAAAAATAAATAAATCTAATTGACAGTTTGCAAAGGATCAATAAGAAGTTGAACTAATTGTGAGCAAAAAAAAAGGAGTTCTTAAATTTCCATCTTGTCTTTCCGCTGGAAAATGTGGAGATTTTACTGCAGATGTAGCTGATTAATTAGCCTTGTCCTTTGCCACCAGAGAAGGGAAGTAGACAAATATTTGGAAAATGTGGTTTTTAAATACTCTCGTTTCAGCTAATGTTCTGGATTGCTTCTGTGGTATTAATAATGTTTATTAATATTTTGGTTGAACATTTTCCTAAGTCACCAGTGTTCCTTTTGCAAAGGCGTGAGCTGTGAATCCAGCTGGATACCCATTGGATTTACTTGCTGCAGATCAAATTATCTGATGTTAAATACATATTAGCATATGACTGCACCAGTTTTATCGACAGGATTTGCCAAAAAATGATACATTATTTTAATACTGGTTTCCACCACATTGTTGGGGTGAGGTTAACGGAGACTGGAAGTTATTCCTAGTGACAGAATACAGTGTCAGCACCACTGAG